ATCACACACAGATGGCCTTGCTGAACCCAGAGCCCAGGCGGGGCTTGATCCCAAGGCCCCGAGATCATGACCTGAGATGAAATCAAGAGTTGGACACTTAACTGACGGAGCCACCCAGGAGCCCCTCAAGTATTTTTTTTAATTAAATGATAAAAATTAATTCTCATTTGTTGGAGTCACTGTAATGTGTGCTTTCTTTTATTTTCACCCTAATACACCCGATATAACATATTCATCTAATTTTTGCCTTGTGTTCTTTTAGAATTTTTCAATTGATTTTTTGTTTTAGGGTTTTTTTAAAAAAATTCAAATGAAATGTATTTTTCTAAGTTGCCAGATTAAGATCATGATGTCTCCCCCCCCCACCTCCTCTCTCGTCATTCCATGAAACGTGAGATTTACTGTCTCTTCAAAGTTGTAATTCATAGGTTAGCCTGAGAGAGGTTGGCCATTTCCCCGACGCTACACCACAGTCCCAGGCGCTACTACAAGTCAATTTTATATTCTTTTATTTTACCACACTTTATTTTATTTCATTTTGTTTTCTTTCTTTCTTTCTTTTTTTTATAATAAATTTATTTTTTATTGGTGTTCAATTAGCCTGCAAATGATGTATCAGAGAAAAGGCTAGTTTCCAAGATCTATTTCTTTGTCTTTAGGTTATGAACGTGCTCAGTGGAGCCGACTTTCCATGGGAGAGGGATAACAGAAAGGGAAAAAGGGAGGGCGTTGTGTTCATTATGAATCTTTAAATAAATATAATTTATTTTACAACAGGGGCACTATTCATCACAATTAACTAAAAATGCTCAAACACTTAAGAAGAAACCATAAGCTGTGTGATTTTTCATTCTTAAAACAATGCATAGAAGACACAAAATGTGGTTATTTGCCTCAAAATTTTTATAATGAGAGGAAATAGAAAACATACGATTTTCAGAAACGATGATAAAATGAAAGGAAAAATATGGATTTTTCCAGTAAACTTCAACTTTTACATTTAAAAATCCCTCTATTTCTCCTTTCCAAAGCTAAAGGCCTTATTGATCCTGAATATGCTTCCAGAGTCAGACATATCACAATATATAACCTCTGCGCTTTTTCTTGCTCAGCTGAAAGCTTGGTCTCTATATTTTTAAATATGATAATTAACTTTTTTCTTCTGTGACAAGAAACAATAAAGAGCTACTTAGAATTTCTTTTTTTGCTTTAAGCACTCAGAGTTCTAACTGCAGCTTTCTTCTTTGTACCAAGGAATGACTGTATACAGTCATAACAAGAAAAGATGCTATTTTGTTTTATTAACTTTTGGGTTAATGTTAGCACTGCCTTTTAAAGATGAGGAACGTGGTGCTTGGAGAGGCTTGGGAATTTGCCTCACAGAGCTAACAGAGAGCAGTGAAAACTCATGTGTTTCTTTTTTTATTGACTACATTTGATTTGACATGACATTGTGTGGATTTAAGTGTGTACAACGTGTTAAAATTTGATAATGTTTACATATTGTAATATGATTGTCTTCGTAGCTATATTCATCGCATTACATGATTATAGTCCCACATTGTTGTCTATACTCCTTATACTGTGCATTGAAAACTATGGCTTGTTTGCTCTCCGTTCAAGCGTGTACCCTAAACACTGTGAGTCTTACCACCTCCTCACCCCCGCTCCCCAGTAATCGCATCCTGACATCTGTTTTGTATGAGTTTGACGTTTTCTTTCAAGGTTCCATACATTAGCGATATCGTTTAGTACTTGTCTTTATCTGACTTAACTCACTGACCATAATGTTCTCAAGGTTCATCTGTGTTGTCTCAAAAGGCAGGATTCTCTCCTTTCTCGTGGCCAAATTCTCATGACATGTCTTTTTTCATCTATTCATCCACTGATGGGCATTTAGGTTGATTTCTTGGCTACGCGTCTTGGCTACTGTGAATAATGCTGTAATAATGAACGTGGGGATGTGTATGTCTCTTTGAAATGCATACGTGTCCCTTTAGCTATTGAGTTCCTGATGCGTGAGAGTCGCGTAGGTGTGTAGAGCTGATACTTGTGTGCATAACACCTAAGATGTTTGAAGTTTGTATGTGTGTGTGTGTATACTTGGGCCCCCAAATAAGAGTCCATGAATGCCATTCTGACTTTCTGCTGAATGACTTTGGTTATAGCGCTATCTTCTAGTATAAGAATGTGTAAGTATAAAGGATCCTGTTATTTGTGAGCCCATTCTCCGGAAAGAGAATACATGTGCACACACATGCACACACAGGCTTCTCCTCACCTTCCTCTGCCCCAGAGTCTGGCAGGGAGGAAGGCCATGTGCGTCAAGCCTAAGATCTCTCTTGAGCCATTTAGCTTGCCAGCTCTTCCCTTAGTATTCCACTCAGGTCCCCTCGGGGAGGCGAGGCGAAAGGCCAAATACTTTCCTGAGGGCTGTGTCTGCAGAGAGGTCCCCTGTGGGTGGGAGGGGGTTGGTGTGTGCTCCTCCAGTAGCTTGGAGGCAGGCAGAGCACAAATAGCTCATTCTGTGCCTTCTTCAAGCTGAGCAGAGACACAACCAGCACCTCTTGAGCTTGGGGATATTGTCTTCTTCCTTTTGGTCTACATAGTCTCTCCTCTTTTCTCAGTCCAAAGTGGCCATGTCTGACGAGGCTGGGAGAAGAGTCCTAAGTTATATCCCTGGGAAAATGGTGGGTTGAAAAAAGACTCTCAGGTATTTCCAGGGGATGACGGACAATCATTTTTATCTCAATCACTGATTCTTGGGAGCTTTCGTTTTATTGATATTTAAAACTAGTTGTCTTCTTTGAGCTTATCATGGAAGTAGCTACAGGGTATAGCTGGGGAGTGAACTTAGTACACATCTGCATTCATTCCACTTCAACAATATCTGTCTATCGCCTGTATATATTAAGCCACAGGAAGAGGTATTGTGTAATAAAGGTTGTCGTGTCATTTTAAGACTCTACTGTAATAACCCACTCTAGATAAAATAAGCCTGAGTCTGAACAGTTGTTCAGGGATGTGTGCTCCTGAAGATACCTCCCTTTAATGCATCAGCCCACCTGTATGCCTTGCAAAGTGCAGAGTTCATGCGTACTGTGACCTAGGGAACAGACAGAGAGAAAATGGCAGAGATAATAGAACTATTATGAGAGAACACGAAAGAGTATGTGTGTTGGGGGGGCGGGGGGTGGAAGACAGGTATGTGAGTATGTGTGTGTGTTTCTCCATTAAATGAGGACAGGGTCTGGCAAAGGGGATGGTGCCTGCAGGTTTGGTGACTTACAACTCCTTAGAAGATTTCACTTCTCTTCGTGCGTGGTTCCATAAGAGGAAGTTGGTGACAGTCACCTCTGGGTCAACTGGGCACCATGATGTTTGTCCTGGTTAATGCCCTATGGTGTGGATCACGTGAAATAATGCTCCTTCGGATATTGTACAGTGATATGCAAATGTGAGGCCTCAACTGGCTGTGAAAATGCTGCCCTAGAGTCAGCACATTATCCTCAGGGATGCACCTGCTGCCTAACTTCTGCTGGAACAAAGGCTGTAACTCTGAGCCTTGCTCTCTTCCTCCTCTATCTGTCAGACGGACCCAATAAAGGACCTTGGAAGCCACAAGATGGGACTAAGATGACCTAGTTCTGGAGATTTGAGACCTAGACCCCTCACTACATTTACATTGCGTGGGACTATTGGCAAAGCATACTACATATTCAGCTCTATATGTCTACATATATATACATACACATATATACGTGCTATGTATATGGAGGGTTTCAACTCTCAAATATGATCATACTGTACCTCCAATTCTTTCCCTCTTTTGTTTGACTTTTCCTCTTTTTTAAAGATTTTATTTATTTACTCATGAGAGACAGAGAGAGAGAGAGAGAGAGAGAGAGAGAGAGAGAGAAACTGAGGGAGAAGCAGGCTCCATGAAGGGAGACCGACGCACGACTCGATTCCAGGTCTCCAGGATCACACCCCGGGCAGAAGGCAGCGCTAAACCCCTGAGCCACTGGGGCTGCCCTGACTTTTCCTCTTTTATTTGACTTTATTTGACCTTTCCTCCTTTATTTGACTGTTGGAAAACAAAGCTAATTCCATGCTTAAATGATAAAACTTGCTCAGTCCAATGGTTTTGATATGATTCTATATACTTCCTTCTTTTCCCTTTTCCCCCATCCTCATCTTGTGCTCATGTACCCGTCAGTACTGCCTCTGGACGCTTACATTCCTGTGGGGAGTACAGGAAGGAGATCACAGCAGCTGTAAGAACATCCCCCGCTCACTGTATGTGCTAATTCTTAGTCTTAAATTCCATGCACTGCCTTCATTTCCAGCTTCAGGTCTGAGGCATCTCCTCTGAGAATGACAGTGCCTGTTGCTAAAGTCCTGACAATAATACATTGCATCATCCTATTTGCGGGGGACCCTGGGATGGGTTCCAGGGAGACAGGACTTCTGGGTATAATGCCCTCCCTACCCTTAGCTGGAATATAAAAATGCAAGTGGGAAGGAGCCCAGGGACATGGTTCTGGAGACCGGTATCTTATTACGGTGAATCAAAGATGTGCCTCCCAAACAGAAATGTCGCCCCCCTGTCCCCCACCCCCAGTAGCTGGAAAGAGGTTGATTCCAAGTGTCCATTTTCCAGGACAGAGGTGTGCTGAGGAAAAGCCTGGCTGGAGGGTGGGCCTCAACTATTCATTAATAGGCTTCAGGCTGGTTGGACTCTCGGACTCAGAGAAGAGAAGAAAGTAGCTGAGAGAAGCTCGGGGTTCACAGACCTTGCCTTGTTTGTGAGCTCCACCATCCCCACTCTGCCTCGTGAATGCTAGGCCATGGCAAGCAGGGGCCATTCTGGGGTGTGTGTGTGTGTGTGTGTGTGTGTGTATGGGGGTGTGGGTGTGTGTGAATTAAAGGCTGAGTTCCAACAGAAAACAAATTAGTTGAATTTGCACTATTAGACATTGTGTGGTTTTGGTTTATCCATGTCTGTTTTCCTCTCGAACGTGGATAACTACGAGGTGACCGTTATGCCTTTCTGTAGGGGCCTAGCGCGAGGTGTCGGTAGCAAGAGGCCAGAGCATGGCGTGGGAAGCCATTGTCCAGGTCAGGAAAAACAGACCACCTTCCCCGGTGTGCCCCACGTGTCCTGCACACAGCAGGGTTGTTGGGAAACAGAGAATAAGAGAGGCCGTTTCTGGAGAAGTGTGGGAGGGAGGAATCAGGCCGTAGGACCCAGGGAGAGTCTGGGGAGGGTGAAACATGCAGCATGGGAGGTGCAGGGTGATGCTCAGCTGGCCTGGAAGGAGACTGTACCCTGGGGCGGGGGGGCGAGGGGAATGCAGGAGGCTCACTGAACGCATAAGGCACTGGAGTTCTCCGTTTTTTTTCTGATACTATTTTCAAGCAACTTGTGTGTCCTTTAATCTAATACCCCTGGGAAGGACCTACAGTCCCCTCCCTTCTCATTAACCAGGGCTGTGGTTTCCACCACGTAGACCTGCGTTGGTTTTTTTGTCTTTCTGTTTTTTTTTTTTGTTTTTCAGGGGAGCAGACTGTTGGGAGAATTAGCCGGGTATCCTGGAAAGGCCACAGCAAATGTCCACAGGATTTTTTATTTATTTATTTATTTATTTATTTATTTATTTATTTATTTATTTTAATAATAAATTCATTTTTTATTGGTGTTCAATTTGCCAACATACAGAATAACACCCGGTGCTCATCCCGTCAAGTGCCCCCCTCAGTGCCCGTCACCCATTCACCCCCACCCCCCGCCCTCCTCCCCCTCCACCACCCCTACTTCGTTTCCCAGAGTTAGGAGTCTTCCATGTTCTGTCTCCCTTTCTGATATTTCCTACCCATTTCTTCTCCCTTCCCCTCTATTCCCTTTCACTATTATTTAAACTCGAAAGCTCATTTGATGTTTACAGATGTAATGAAATTATATTATACCCACCTTGAAAATAGAAGAACTAGTATTCTGAAAATGAAGTCGTATGCTCATTTTGTTGGAATGAGACCAAGGTGTGATTTGATGTGTTTTTTTTCCAAATTCCTAATCAAGACTCCATACAATGGATTGGATCAAAGAGAACATTACCTTTTAAGTTATCTGTTTGGTTTTGCTTTCCAAGAAGCTGGTGAATATTCATATCAAATGTGCTATGAACCCTGTGTGTTTGCTCAAATATTGCCTCATTCAAGCTTTCTGATCTTGTTAAATAGAAAAAAAAAAAAGAAACAAAGCAAAATAGCAGAATTCTTTCCTTACAGGTAAGTGGGCTTATAAGACTTCTCCAGAGTCATACAGATTATCCCTGGGGGATGGACACCTGAATCGCCTGCCTCCTTTCCATATGTAGTAGATTGGGTTTCTTGCTTATAGTGAAGGCGTGGTTTGAAGGCCATCCTCCTATGCCCAACAGAGATGTTCTAGAAAGGCACAGAACTAACTGGGAGTCATAAGTTTCCAATTTCACTTCTGTAGGACCTTGAATGTGTTCTCTCTCTCTTGGCTTAATTTGAAAAAAAAAATTAAAACATAACCTCCCTAAAGTACATTTTTTGCTCAAAAGCTATGGTTCTGATCACCAACGAAGGAAGTAAGGTCAAAAGGCAGGAGAACTATTGTGCTGAGTTTTCTGGGCGCGTGCTCTATCAATGTCAGTAACCACGGGCTGGTGCTCAGGCCCTGGACAAAACTGATTTTGTCTGTGCCCACAGCCAGTGACGATCACCAAGGTTCTGGAAGTGGATAACGATACAGCGACCATCCGTTTCATTCTCCTGGGATTTCCAACACGGCCAGCCTTCCAGCTGTTCCTCTTTTTTGTGTTCCTGGCAGCTTACCTGCTGACCCTGCTGGAGAACGCTCTCATCATCCTGGCCATTCGCAGTGATGGACAGTTGCACAAACCCATGTACTTCTTCCTGAGCAATCTCTCCTTCCTGGAGATGTGGTATGTCACGGTCATCAGCCCCAAGATGCTGGTCGACTTCCTCAGCCATGACAAGACCATCTCCTTCAATGGCTGCATGACTCAACTGTACTTCTTTGTAACCTTTGTCTGCACGGAGTACATCCTCCTTGCTGTTATGGCCTTTGACCGCCATGTAGCCATTTGTAATCCTCTACGCTATCCAGTCATCATGACCAGCCAGCTGTGTGGTACATTGGCTGTGGGATGCTGGCTCTGTGGGCTTGTGACTGCCATGATCAAGATGGTTTTCATAGCCCGACTCCACTACTGTGGCACCCCCCACATCAATCACTACTTTTGTGACATTTCTCCACTCCTCAATGTCTCCTGTGAGGACTCCTCACAGGCTGAGCTAGTGGACTTCTTCTTGGCCCTCATGGTCATTGCCGTCCCCCTTTGTGTAGTGGTGGCATCTTACGCCACCATTCTCAGTGCCATCCTCAGGATCCATTCTACACAGGGCCGCCAAAAGGCGTTTTCCACCTGTGCCTCTCACCTGACAGTTGTAATCCTCTTCTACTCTACAACCCTTTTCACCTATGCCCGCCCCAAGCTCATGTATGCCTATAACTCCAACAAAGCGGTGTCTGTGCTCTACACTGTCATCGTCCCCCTGCTCAACCCCATCATCTACTGTCTGAGGAACCGTGAAGTAAAGGCAGCCCTCAAGAAGACCATACTTTGCAAAGGAAGTGGGCCCAGGGAAGACGTGGCTTTGAGGAATTAAAAACTTTATAGAGTCCCTTCAGGCCTGGGTGCGGAGATGACTCTACACCCCACAGTCCACACTCAGCCCTTTGCTTATCTATCAGCCTCCAGTATCGATCCTCTGTGTGTGCATGCATGCATGAATGCGGCTATAGAACCATATCCCCAAGAGGCAGCCTCTTCTTCCACCTCAGCAGATAAGTCCTAAACATTTTCCAAAAATTATTTGAAATGAGGACAGATTTTTTTTCTTCCACTAAAATACAAAGTCCATGAGAGCACAGATTTGTGTCTCTTTTACCAACGTGTCATCTGTGCATTCAGCTGTGTCTGTCACACAGTAGGTGCTTAATACACATTTGTTGAAAGGATGGTTGACTAAATACACGTTTTGAACACAGAAGATGAAGATGGCAATTGTGAACCCATTTTGACATTTTGGCCCTTCCAGTTCTTCTCTCTCTCCCTTCTGACTGTTTCTGTTCTACCTCTTTTTCCTTCTTCTCTGCTAACTCGGTTTCATCTTTCCTCTTACAGACTTGGAGATTTGCTCGCTCTCTCCCTGCCCCCTTCCTTCCCTCCTCACTTCCTCCCATCTGTCTATTTTTCCAGAGACACTGGCATGTGTTCATCCAAATAAACTCATCACCTTATCTTAAGTGACTTGTTTGTGGATTCAAAAGTTCAAAGCCAGTGAGTGGCCCAAGCATATCATGTGTTTTCAAAAGTTAAGCATGAAAAAAGAAGCTTTTCTATATTTCCCTACCAGAGATTTTATTAACAATTACTTTTCACTTCTTATATTGCAGTTAGGCTTTTTTAAATTAGCTTTGTAAAGTATAATTCCATTCAACAACTTTCACCTTTTTAAAGTGTACTGAATTTTGGAAAAGTGAAGTGTACAGTTGTCAAACAACAACCAACACTATGTAGAACATTTCCATCAATCTCAAAAGTTTCTTTGTGCCTTTTTTCATTAAATCTCTTACTCATACCCCTAGACCTAGCCGCTGGCGAGAGATAGGCTTTTTGTCACTGTAGCTTTGCCTTTTGTCATTGTAGCTTTGCCTTTTCTAGAAATTCATATAAACGGAATCACACAATCTGTAGTCTTTTGTGTCAGGCTCATTTATCATAATGCCTTTAAGTTTCTTAAAATTCTTTTTATTTTTTATTTCTTTTATTTTTTATTTTTTTTTTGATAGAGAGAGAGAGAGAGAGAGAGAGAGAGAGAGAGGCAGAGACACAGGCAGAGGGAGAAGCAGGCTCCATGCACCGGGAGCCCGATGTGGGATTTGATCCCGTGTCTCCAGGATCGCACCCTGGGCCAAAGGCAGGCGCCAAACCGCTGCGCCACCCAGGGATCCCAAAATTTTTTTTATTGAAGTATAATTAACATGCAGTGTTATGTCATTTTCAGGTGCGCAACATGATTATTTAACAATTCTCTACATTTCTCAGTACTCATCATAATAAGTGGACTCTTAATCCCCTTTCTCTATGACCCTCAACCCCACAGATGTTATCTGTCTCTCTCTGTCTGGTTTATTCCGTGTAGCAGTGTACCCTCTAGCTCCACCCGTGCTGATGCCACCAACAAAACCCACCAACAAAAACCCCTCGGGGCACCCCCACCAAAAAAAACCCTCGGTGCAGCGCCAAGAGAGCCCCCTGCCATCTGTGAGACTGCAGCCCCATAGGGGGCCTGTGGACAGGCATCTGGCCCCACTGCGGACCCACCCAGCTACAAGCCCACACATGCCTTGAAGATCCTTCCATGTTGTTGTGCATATGGGTTACCTGGCTCTGGTGAGTGCTAGTCTACCGTATGGACAGAGCACACTTTGTCTCTCTATCCACCAGTTGATGGGCATTTAGGCTGTTTCTAGTCTATTATCAATAAAGCTACTGTGCATGTTTAAAATCAGTTTTGTTGTGACCGTCGACTTTAATGTCTCTTCAGGAGATGAGGCTTGTTACGGTATTGTCACCACACAGTAGGACAAGTTTCTGCTTAAGTTCACGAAGATTGTCAAATATCCCAAAGTACCCCAACTCTTCTATATTCCTACATAACGTGTGAGAATTCTAGATGTTCACAGCCTCCTCGATGGTTGGTAATGCCAAACTTTTCACGTGGTCATCTAGGAGGGTATATGATGGTCTCACGTGGGCTGTAACTTCTATTGCCTTAATGTTGAACACCTTTTCTTTTTTTTTTTTTAAAGATTTTATTTATTTATTCATGAGAGACACACACACAGAGAGAGAGAGGCAGAGACACAGACAGAGGGAGAAGCAGGCTCCATGTAGGCAGCCTGATATGGGACTCGATCCCCGGTTTCCAGGATCATACCCCAGGCTGAAGGCGGTGCTAAACCGCTAAGCCACCGGGGCTGCCCTTGAACACCTTTTCATTTAATTATTTGAAATTTTGAAAACTTCCTTGTGGAAGTGTCTGATCAAATAGTTCCCCCAACTTTTAAACTAGGTGTTTTTTTTTGTCTTGCTATTATATATAACCTTTAAGATGCAATTGTTTCTTTATTTTTATTTTTTTTTTATTATTTATTCATGACAGTCATAGAGAGAGGAGAGAGAGGCAGAGACACAGGCAGAGGGAGAAGCGGGCTCCATGCTGGGAGCCCAACTGGGATTCGATCCCGGGACTCCGGGATCATGCCCTGGGCCAAAGGCAGGCGCTAAACTGCTGAGCCACCCAGGGATCCCCTGATGCAATTATTTCTTATACTCAGATGCAATTATTTCTCAGATACATGTTTTGCTAATACATTCTCCCACTTGGTGGCTGGCCTTTCATTTTCTTAAAAGGGTGTTTTGAAGAGCCTTTTGGTTTTTCATCGTTTTGGGGGCTCAAAGCCCCAGATCCAGATCCCTGCTAATCCAGTTCCTGATGAGGACTCATCCAGGCTTGCAGATGGGCTCCCTCTTGTGTGCTCACGTGGTGGAGAGAGAACATAACCACCTTCAGCCTTACTGATCTGCATAAAGGGCCATGTCCAGATACATGTCAGGGGCTTCCACACAGGAGTTTGAGAGACCACAAACAGTCAGTCCATAAGAAAGTGTGTAGAAAGTGCGTATTCATACCACTTTCTCCTCAAATATTTAGTTAAAATTAACTGCTGAACTAATCTGGACTGGGACATTCATTTGTAAAAAGTTTTAAACTATAAAACCTGTTTTTAATAAGATTTAGGAATATTCAGGTTATTAGTTTATTCTTGAGCTTTGAAACTACTTTTTTCACGTAATATGACATTTATTTTGTCAGATTTATTAGCATAAAGTTATCCATGATATTTCTTTAAATGTCTACAGTAGGGAGGCCTGGGGGGCTCAGTGGTTGAGCCTCTGCCTTCAGCCCAGGGCATGACCCCGAGGTCCTGGGATCGAGTCCCACATCGAGCTCCCTGCAGGGAGCCTGCTTCTCCCTCTGTCCGTGTCTCTGTCTCTCTGTGTCTCTCATGAATAAATAAATAAAAATATAAATAAATAAATATCTACAGTGCATGTAAGGTAGCTTCTGCTTATTGCTTAATATTGATAATTTGTGTCTTCTCTCTTTTATCTTGATCAGTTTCCCTAGAGATTTATCAATTTTTAAATTTTTTTTCAATAAAATTTCTTTGATTTTATTGGTTTTGTTGATTTTCTCTTTACTATTTTATCATGTGAAGAACATACATAATATTCTTTCTTTTGCTTGACTTACTAGAATTAGTTCTTTTTTCTTGTTTCTTAAGACAGAAATTTAGCCTATATATTTGGATCTCTTCTTTTGTATTATAAGTATTTAATGCTATACATTTACCCCTAAACCCTGTTCTAATTGCCCCCAAATAATTTTGATATGTCATGTTTTCATTTTATTCAGTTTAAAATAATTCTAATTTCTTTTGTGATTTCCCGCCTTTGGCCTATCAGCTATTTAGGAGTAATTTAACTGTAAATAATCTGATTGATATGTTCTAGATATCTTTGTGTTTTTTAGTTTTTAACTTAATTGTAACCAGAGAACATATCTTTACATATTAATTAAATCTTACAAAATATTGTTCATGGCTATGTATGTGGTCTATCTTGGTAACTATTCCTTGCACATTTTAAAAGAATGTGCATTCTGTTTTGGGATGGAACATGCCAAAAATATCAATTAGATCATATTGGTTAAGAGTATTGCTAAAATATTCTACATTTTTATTTTATCCTTATATATTATATTACATTGATTATATTTTATCCTTATATATTTTATAGCTACATATATAGTATATCCTAGTCATTTTATATCCCTACTTTAGGTATCCTTATTCTTTCAGTTACTGAGACTAAAGTGTTGAACTCCTCAATGATAACTATGTGTTCATCTGTTTCTCATTATTTTTTATCAGTGTTTTACTTAATGAATTTTCAATTTTTGTGATTGTATGGATATACATTTGGGATTCACATGTTTTTTTGCTGGATTGAACTCTTTACTATTCTGAAATTACGTCCTTTGTCTCAAGGAATGTCCCTTGTTCTAAGGTTAACTTTATTAGCTGATATTAGTACAGTCACTTCTGATTATATTTCATTTGGGTGTCATGGTATGTTTTCTTTTTCTTTTTATCTTCAACTTACTTGTTGCTCATAATCAAAGTAGTCACCTTAGAGACTGTATATAAGTAGATCTTTTCTTATCCAATTGGATAATCTCTGGTCTTACATTTTTATCCCATTTTTACTGTCTTTTTAAAGTAACTGAATATATTCCAGCAATTCCATTTTACCTCATTTTTGGCTTACCAGTGTTTGTTTTAAGGCAACTTTCTATGATAATGGAAATGTTATACATCTGTCTGGTCTCTTCTCTGGGGGGCCTTATGCTGCCTGTTGTCCAATGTCTGAAAACTACTGTTTTATTTTTGTTTTTAAAGATTTTATTTATTTGTTCATGAGAGACACAGAGAGAGAGAGAGAAGCAGAGACACAGGCAGAGGGAGAAGCAGGCTC